TATATATATATATATATATATATATATATATATATATATATATATATATATATATATATATATAAATAAAGTAATCATTTTTTAGATATTCAGTTTTGTATTTGGTAAACTACGTATTTTCCTTCTTTTGCTCTTTCTTTCGCTTTGTACGATTATACATATGTGGAATAACTAATATCTTAGACAGTTCACACTGTCAATTATTTACAATTATCCCAAACGCGTATCATTTCCATTTTCAATAGTAGTTTAATATTTATCAAACTGATTCACTGTTTATTCCAACTGTCTGTATTTGCAAACGACTATTTCTTATTTTCTGTCGTTTCTCTTGTTAACAGTAATTTGTTTCGTTTCCTGAAATCTCGCTGGTTGAAAGTAGTTTTGCATACGTAATAAAATGTACAAGTGAGAAACACTCGTTTTACGTTAGTTTATTGTGAAACTAAGAGAATACGTCTAATTAAAAGTTCCTCGATTTAAATCCATCACGATATTTGATTACAGTCAAATCGGCAATAAGACAACAGCGGAATCTCGTGCCAAGTGATTTGGTTTTTGTTTCGTATCGTCCGCGAATTATAGTCCCTTAAAGTTGCCGCGCTCGATATTAGTAAACATTGGCGCGCTCTGTATCACGCATGCGTCAACGACTACGTGATCAAGTCACAGGAGCGATCAGCTGATAAAGCGCGAACGAGTGGACCTGCGTTCCATCACGTACACATTATGTAATGCGTACGTGATGGAATGTAGACACACATTAGCACTCGCACATTACACTGTCTCACTTCCAGATGTCGTTGACCCCACCTTGATAGCGTCAGACTAATCGAAAGAACGACGCTCGATACAATCGTCGATATCTCTGTTGCTAGAAATCGTGGTGAGTTGAAACAGAAACTAATGGAAAGTTGAGACTTTCATGTTTCTGATGGATGGATATTGTCCGGATTAATTAATAATCATGGAAAATATATTTTTTTTGTCCTTTTTTACGGAAAACATTAATAACGAGAGTTTTTTTATTAATTTGGATATCTCCATTTAGTAAAATTGCACAGAATGAAGATAATATACAATGTAATTGAAGATATATTGAATTCTTCGCGTAAATTTGGCATTTCATATATCTGATATATTATTCGTACAATAGTGTGCGTAATCATATAAAAAACTTTGTAATTGTATAGTCTTTTGATTAAAAGTTGTAACTTTTTTGAGATTTGTAACTCATTCCAATGGGAGAATTAATTTTTTTAGCAATTCTTAGCAGATATATTTTTTATATGATAGAAAGCATGTTGCAACTTTTAAACAGCTGATTGTATATTTGTTTGCAAAACGATTTGAACATATCCTTTTTTATGAAGTTAAGAACGTATTAAATCTCAAATAATATCTTATGAATATTCTTATGAGATATGAATACATTATGAACGTATTATGAACATATAACAGTATTTTTAGTACATTCATAAAATATATAGACAAGCATATTATTCGTCTAAGAAAAAGCTGAATATCTTGAAAACGATTAGCTCGCGACCGTATGTTTATTAAGAATTTTCGTTCGTCTTCGTTTGTTTTGTTATGTAGTCAAGTCTTATAAGTCTGAAACACCCTGTATATTTCGTAAATAAACGTTAAATTTTAACTATAAATTTACATACACACACGTCAAGTGCTTTTATTTCACGATACTTATCGCCATATAAACGTACAACATGTAAAATTTGAGTTCCATATAAACAATTGTGCCCAGGACTTTTATTATTTCCTCCCTGTGTCGCATTATTTCTACGTGTCATGCTCAATTATACGACTTGCGTCAAAGTTCTGGGCATCCTGAAACTTGTAATTCAAGCTTCGGGTGTGTTCAAAGCTGCCGGAATTGTTACTGTAATTTCGTATTGTGCAACCGCACTCGACAAGTTGAATTAAATAGTACGGAAGTAACCGCCCATTTAGAAGTTGGTCAAACAAGCTTCCTTAAATTGCTTTCCAACAATATTTATAAACTTTTGTTGGTCAACGCGTTATTAACAATCGTACGTAACTGCGTTTATTCGTCGGAAATTAGGGGCTGTTTACGTTAGTAGGCCAAACGGTTTTCTTAAGAATTTTTGGCACCCTCGTTTATACGTATCATACTTTGGATCCGATCTTTTACTGTTTTATATCTTTATGTAAAAGTAAGACCAAAGTTGTAAAGGTATAATAATTGCAATTAGCCTTGTTAAAATCTTCGAAATAAAATAAATAATTTTAGCTACGAATTTTAATATTACGCTATAAGCGTTAATGAAATTGTCAATGTGAAACCTCGGATCCGAAGTACTGATAAAAGCGAAAGTCCCTGCGACCACGCGTTATTTGTTTTTCCACAAAGATATTTTGTGAATTAATATAGAGATATACTTGGTGTTTGCTTTAGATTTCGCGTATCCGTAGCCTTAGGCTCTCGCGACTCTCACAATTTGCCCTTAAATTCAATACAGATTGGCAGTCTGAGTGTCGTGATATACATGGAGCAAGGATCAGCAACGTTTTGTCACTTACTAGTCATATCCAATCATTAATTTGAATTTTCAATAAAGAATTTGTCCGATATTACGAAAAGAGCAATGCGTAATGTACAAAGCACAAGAGGGAAGCGCACACAATATAAAACATCATATATATGTTATTTAATATTATATAATATTGTATAGATAAAGCGAACGTTGAGGGAATCTAACAGAGTTAAGGAATGCTTAAAACTAAGCAAAAATTTAAATAAAGATGTAAATAAAGATAAAGTTAAGAACAAATTGAGAAATACAGATGAAAAATATAACGCTTCATTTTATCGTACAAAATTTTCTATTTTTGGAAAGTCGAAAACGTAAGAAAATAATTTTCAATCGTGCGCTTCGCACAAGTGAAATTAAGGTCTAGTACTATATACACATATGATAATTTCGAGAAAGCGGAGATATATTTACGAATCTGTACAAGTGACGAGACTTAGTTACCGATCTTTCCCCTGTGACAGAACGAAAGCTGCCGATATTTTCTCAAGAGTTCAGCAGCTCGATAAAAGTATCCGCTCGGACTTTCGTTGTCTGAGTTCTAACGAACGAGCAAAATTCACATTTACTTAGATATAATAAATATATATATATATATATATATATATATATATATATATATATACATGTATATAACTGTACGTTGGTACGTATAAGGTGAACAGATTTCCCAGCCCTGAATTCGGGACACTTCATAAATGTGTGAAGCGGGGGGCGGAGGGAGGGAGATAAAAAGATCCGAAAATTATTTGACAATCATTGAAAATGATGACAAATCGGTGTCCCGAATAACACTCGAAAAAATTCGGAACAAAGGGTGGAAAATCGGGACGTCTAGTCACCTTAGCTGTATGTGTCGAGAAGGGAGGAGATTACTCCGTAATAATGTACTTACGACATGTCCTGACGACCGCACGTCGTTGTTTTCGGCACTCTAATACTTATTTCCGCAGGAGACTCACAGGACACAAGCGAAAGACGTATGGAATACGGGGCGTTGTGCCCATGGTAGTTACTCGGCATGAAAAGATCGCAGACGTGCACGCTGTCAATCACGTACACCAAAAGTTCATTAGCGCGCCGAAAGTATCGAAAGTGCATGAATGTGAACGCGTCAGAGATGCGAACGAGGTCGCGCGTCTACAGTGACGCGATCTGTACGGCGCGCCGCGGCGGACGTCTTAATCACTTGCTCGAGCTACTAACCACTCTAGACCAATCGCATTCGTTTCGCACTACGAGGTTGTCATCGTGGTTATTCAATCTAAGTATTGGTAATGAATCGCGCGAAATGCTCGATCTTTTCGCGCCAAGCAGCAGCCATGGGCACACATCGATTCACATTGCTCCGCGTTTCTCGCGTCTTTTATCCGTCGAAAGTGAGTCTCGCGCGTTGATAAGTCTCGGGAGTGTCGAAAATAATGATGTGCGATCGCTGGGGTGTATCGTGAAGACGTCATTTGTAAGTAATCTTCTCGTTTCTCCTCGCGGTATATGTAAGGTGACCAGATTTCCCAGCCCTGAATTCGGGACACTTCATAAATGTGTGAAACGGGGGGAGGGAGATAAAAAGATCCGAAAATTATTTGACAATCATTGAAAATGATAACAAATCGGTGTCCCGAATAGCACTCGAAAAAATTCGGGACAAAGGGCGAAAAATCGGGACGTCTAGTCACCTTAGTACGTATCGTGTGCGCACAGGCACGAACTATTCTCCATGTTCATTATGTTACATCGCTTATGCGAAATCGCCTTCTATTTCACATTATACAAAATCTAGCCTCGCTCGCGAATATACGAGTGCGAACGAATCCTAATTGCTTACCTCGAAACCCGAACGTCCGCATACACACACACACAGCTTCGGTGTTATTTACACTTATGTTTCGTTAACATGTAAATACGGAGCAGTACGTATATACATTAAACGTGGTCCTATATGATTCATATGTCTCGTTGCCGTGTATATGTATCATTTATACTTAACGTCGATAAATTCGCCGCAATTTTCGTAGCATATCTTATGGTAAAAGGATATCCAACGGTTCCTTTGTCTAATGAGACCTTCATATTTTACGGAAATGTACATTATATATATATATATATATATATATATATATGTATATCGCATATACAGGGTATGTAAAAACAATCGCGCGTTTTATCTTAACCGTGCGTATAACATGTAGAGAATTTTCTTCGCAGATATAAACAGTTATTAACCGGAAAAGTAGACTTGCTCTTTCCCTCTAGCTGGGATATACTTATAGAATAGAAAAAATTTGAAGAAAATATAGGAAATTTAGAGAGCAAATAATAAAAAAAACTGCAAAAATAATTTTTTCAAGAATCAGATTGAACAGATAACCGCAATTATAAACGTAAATAAAATAACAAGTGGCCCAAGTGTTAAAGTTGCTTGCAATTTCTTCAAATAGTCACGACCTTTGACTATCTAAAAACAAATGTGTCAGGTCGACAATTTTTAGTAACTCTCAATTAGGACACACATGGCTAGGTGATAGTTAGGCATATATGCAATCCTGTGTACATGTAGTGGATTTATATATCAGCAAGTTGCAAAATATATCTGAATAATTTATTTATTGTCGTCATAAATGAATTTTGGTTTTAGTATATTCCTATCGCGCGATATAAATCTTGTAAATTATATTATTAATATGCTGTATTATTCAAGAAAAATTGACTGCGCGTAGAAAACGAGTAGGAACGTCGTTTATTTCGAAACGAACTTTCTTCACGCTTTATTCAAGCATTTCCGTAGGAAATAAAGACGTATTGTTGGATCGATCTTAGGTGAGCGTTTAGCGAGAATTCAATCGAACAGCTCTGAAGCTGTGTAAGAAGGAGACGCGCGTTTTCTTTTTACTCTATACCCTGTATACTATATATGCAGTGTGTGCCAAGCAGTCTGTGGTACGCTTAAAAACTCGCCGGATTATCGCAAGGGTGTTTTCGCTGTCGCTAGGGGAATATCCAAATGCGACAACATATCGAGCTTACTTTAGATCATTTATAATTGACGGCAGATTGCAAGACGGAGTTTGCATCAGTAATTCCTCCAGTGTCGTGACACGGAGAACATCCAAAGATTTATAGATGCACAGTTGTATGCACGTGCACGCATACGCCTGTGAATGCAATTATGATTCTTCAAAGTCTCTCGCAAATGGAGTTCCGTCCTGGATTCTGTCGCGAATTATAGGTCGTCTGGGCTCTATGTATCGTGCACGATCGATCCTTTGAAATATAATACAATGAGGTATCAAACGAACGAGGGAAAAATACACTTTGTACACATCCAATAACCATACAATGTAAGACGTCTCTTCCGTGTCACAATTGATTCGAGCCTCAACAGGTCGCGTGAATCGCGAATGTCGGTTCATACGACGAATGACCGACGACAACGATGCCACTTATAATTAAGTGCGATTGCATTAAATTAATATCCGCACGCGCGCACGCCCGTGTTCCTGTTTTTATTTTGTGAAAAAATTTTCGCGGCGGGATTAAAAGGAATAACGGGAAAGGAATTAAATTGCCGGCGTTTTCTAGCGAGCTTTTAAGCCGAATAAATCTTCGATCTGACGGAACCTCACTATACCGTATTTATTGTCGTGCCCTCCGCTCTGGATACAGTATACGTTGGCTCATCTAATCGTAAAAGTGCACCGACCGAATTAAGCCGCGCCAATTTGCAATAGTCGAGCGCACATTTAGCCTGCCGGTCGTCCTCGCAACGGATGCTCAATGGAAAGATAAAAAAATATCGTGGAAGACGAAATGGGGTCTTGAACAGTCATTGCTTCAGTGGGATGGGATATCGTGACTTTGAACTCGAATTTCGAATGAGTCCCACTTTCTTACACGACGAAATATTTTGTACTTTGTCGATTCTCTATATTTCATGTCGGCGAGTAACCTGTGCATTCTTTTGATTCCTCTTTTCTGTTTTCTTATTCTTTTAATGCAACCGCTCGACTAGGAAAGCTCATCGTGAATTCTCGCGATGTTCCTCTTTCTCTTTCACTCATTCTCTCTCTTTTTCTCTACACTGAGAGAAAAAATATCTTAAAATTAGTAAATATTTATCTGGTGCGTGTATATTTGCTTAAATCGAGAAGTTATTTTATTTAAATAAATAATTGCTTTTTCATAAAAAATTAAGGTTTCCTGAAGGTTTGAAGAAAATGTATGTTTTCCTCTATTTGACAAATATTTTATATTAATATAAGTAAATATGCTGTTAGTACACACCAAATAAATATTTACTATTTCTTAGATATTTTATTTCTCAATGTCTATAAGCAGATTTGTAATTAAGTGCTATTGCGTTACATGTGCCGTAGCCTAGTTACGGCTCCGTCTGTAAATACGAGTATAAAATATGGAGAATCAAAAGGAACGGATACAATGTAACAAAGTGTAGCTTACTTGACGTTTCGTCAGAAATTAAGCGTTCCAATCTTTTCTCTCATGCTCGTGCAGCTGAATTTTCAATGTTCACATAGCAACATTTCGGAAGACACATTTGTGCGCCTAGAGGTCTATTCTGGAGTGATGGGGGAATTGTCAATGAATACGTTGTTGTAAGAAAAGGAGAACTTGTGTAGAACGTTATACAGATTACTAGTATGCACTCTGAAAATCGCTGTATGGCACAGGATTCCGATAGTAAAGCGCTCCAATAATAGTCGCAGCTTCTTCCAACGACGGAGTAGAAGGAACAACTTATATCCTGAAATGTTCATTAACACGTTCGCTATTGGCATCACATATGCACCAAGAAAAAATGTTTGTAACTATAGTTACAAATAATTACTATAAATTATAGTCATGAAAATCATTTTTTGGTTAAATTCTATTATAATGTTAGTGATAATAACCTTTTACATATATATATATGTGTGTGTGTGTGTGTAAGTTACTATTTTACTACAAAAAATATGATTGGGGCTAAAAATAATTTTAGTTAAATCAATCATTTTTTTCTCTTGGTGTATGTAACGCAACGATCTCTTACGAGAGATATATGTGTGTGCAAACATTTCTTTTATATTTTCACATTATCAAGCTAAATTTGTTTTGCACAATTACCTTAAAAAAAAAAAGACACGATGTCATAAAAGTCTTTCGAAGAAACCGCGGTGGCGAACGTGTTAATTTCGAGATTCGTATATTTCCTTCGTCTCTAAGCAACAATAATATGAACATCGATTTGCAAGAACTCTTAACGTCGAATCAGCAAGTTCGTGCATCGCGCGAATTTCGCGTTTTGTCGGCACCTTTCCAACGCGTGAAATGATTGAGCTGAGAGCGCGAGACAATTTACAACGGAAGCATAAAATGCTTTGTAATAAAAAAGAAAAAAGTGACAGAACTAATTTGTCAAACAAATCGTGAAAAAAAGAGAAACGTGTTATTTTTTCCGATCTGTGTATATTGCTCTATTCGCTCTCGGTGTGTTTGGCTGGCTTTTTTTACATACAGTGTCCGTTAAACAGTTAAATTCAATAGTCACGATGATCCCCGATGAACCTCGCGATGCGCGGACGTCGGCGAACTCGCGCCACAGTTGCGACACGTTCGCACCTCGACATTGTTCCCCCTTTTTATTCCGCGTCCCGCCATGTGATGTCCGGTCGACCGGCGCGATGTACGAACTTGTTTGACCTGTATTTTATCTACAGCCCGATTAATCGCCGGTTACGTCTAAATGTCGACCGGAACGCTCTGACGCTGTCCGCGCATATTTACAGGGACTCGTCGAAAGTTCGTCCTTTTGGTCGCGCCGCAGTCGCTACATCCGATCGCATCTAAAAGTATGTCCTTGTTATATCGAATAAGAGGAAGACCTATTTCCTTGTTTTTACGCGTGGATTCGTCCATCCCTCGTCTCGTCTCGACTCTGTTTCCCATCGTGAGCCACCACGAACTCTCGAAAAGAGATATAGGAAATGCAGGAGGAAACATGGGATTCAATTATGTCAGTTCACAAGCGAGAGAGCCAGAATGCAGTGGAACATAAAATCTGATAGGCATCGCGATAAGATCCCTTGCTGCTTCGCCAAGCAATGTCCCTCGCTTCTACGTAATTGTGTCCCTGATGCAATCTTTTAACATGACGTCCTTTTGTCATAATTAAAAGTATCCAATTCTTGCGAAACAATGTCGGTAAAACTTTCGGGTACCTGACTATCCGAAGATCGATTTTGATCAGAAAACTCAAAAGCTTACTATGCGAGTAATAAATCGAATTATTCGCATCTAAATTCAGATCGTACCTGAGAAAATTACGAATATTATAGTATATGTCCATACAGAAAGAAATGCTGTTAATACAATTAAAATAATTACTTATGTTTGTAGCATAAATTTGTACCATAATATTGATGTTTAATGCCAGAAATATGCCGAGTTAAATGCTTTACATGGCATTCCAGGAGCGGACAGAGCAGAATAATATATTTATAAAAGATCTATATATATACAAGAAACACGAAAAGGCTAGTGTGATTGCATTAGTGAAGATCACCTTCATATTATCGACATTTCTGGAGTTTGTCATTCATTTTGGCATATCTTTAATATGAGTATTAGATCTGGATCCGAAATCGATGCTTCAGTTGCTTGGGTACTTTGCAAAATTCAAATCCTCGAAATTTGTAACATCACATTTATCCGCTATCCGGATAATCGCGAATAGATCCGAGCGATTATTGCAATACTGATAGAACGTTTGAAGAATCGTCCATGCTATTGTGAGAGAGATATTTTTAATCGCGCAGTGTCTAAACGACGTGGGAACAGAGTTGCCTTCTTTTTTTTCTGTACATCCAGTCCGAATCTCACCGTTCATTCGTATTTACAAACTTCGCCAGAGGGACTGACCTACCCTGGATAGGATTGTCAGATACGCGTCCCTTTGCGTTACTCTTAGGCGGTAATGAAGATCCACGAGGGTCCTTTCCGTTTACTTTTCTAAGTTGCTTCATTAATTTTTATTTTGAATTTATAATAACTTCGTACGTGAATGTTCCGAGATATCGCGAGGCGTTAAATCTCTCAAGTGCGAACAAGAAGCTAAATATACCGACTGTGTCATTATTAGTTTTCCTTGATTAAAAATAAATAAGCACGTGCGTGAATTAGAACTATACATACACACACAGAACTGTTTAATGAATTAGAACCGTACATACACACACAGAACTGTTTAAATCGCTGTCTGCGACAGAAGTGGAAATAGTTGTGATGCTTTGTGATCCGCGGTAAATGCCTTTGTAAGTTGCGATCTTTCATGGGAGACAGATTGGATTTCCAGCGTACGGCGAATTGTTAATGTTTACTTGAAAATTACGTTCGAGGATAAAAAGCTAGCAGAGGATTTGTATAGACGCGATAGAAGGTAATGAAGATAATGACCAGACGCGATGTCAGAATCCGCCGTCGGAGAACCGAGCTTTTCTCCCCTTAAAGAGATTGGTTTTCTACTCATCAAAGGGATTGGATTTCACGATCGATACTTAGAGCAGAGCGTGTAATCCGAGAAAGCATTTTGACACTGCAAAAAGATGAGGTATAGCAAATAATGATTAAGGCGGGAGAACCCTGTAATATTCAGACCCCTTTATAACGATTACTTCTTTTTATACACGTTCTGCCAAGCATCAGGGGAAAATTTCGCCTGTAAATAACGACGAGGATAATCGTTTCCCAGAACTATACATAAGATCGCCGTGAATAAAGAGACCAAAAACGGATTTTGCTTTAAGAAGAAAGGCACACGTCATCCATTAAATAACAGGGAGAAAATGGAATTATAGAACAGTATAATTACAGTCATTTTAATTTCTTTGAGAAATATTCGTTTTTTGAAAACTTCCACAATTATTCGATAACAAATACTTAAAGTATTTAAGAATAATTATGGGATTAGGGAATTACTTAAAGAGACGCCTGTAAAAATATTGTGTACGCATACTGAGGAAAAATATTTGAAAATTTATTTGTGAGATATAAAATTTATTCCTCTGAAATGAAATTTATTTCTATAAATAAAATTTATATTCCACAAATATAATTTTTCAAATATTTGTTTCTCAGTGTGGAAAAAATTTTGATTGAATTAACCTAATAATGGGAACGAACGTTTCGATTGAAGGAAACAGAATTTCTGGCTCTTAGAGTCGAATTTGCTTCATAAGAGTTATAACTCTAATTTGTCACAAATCGCGTTTTTGAAAAAAAGACAAAAAACAACACATGTTATTGTGCTGTATTTTTTTTCAAAATTGTTCAAAAATGTATGTTCATACTAAGAGAAATTATCCAATAAAAAATTAACAAACGGATATTTCCGATAATGGCATTTTATAAATCGATTAGAAAATTATGAACCGATATTTCTCATCGGATGTTTCCCAATTGAATATAAAAATTCATCGGTATTTTGATCGTAAATATCCGTTTTTAATTTTTTATCGGATAATTTCTCTCAGTGCACTAAAACAAATGTTTACTCTTGATATGTTTGGTTTTTTTTACACCTTCATATTTGACTCGTAAGCAGCCAGAAATTCTATCTCTTTTCAAACAAAACGCGTTCGTTCATTGATAGGTTAATACAATCAAATTTGTTTCTCCGTGCGAAAGACAAAGGGGTGCGCGGAAAACTCGAGATTTCCGGCTCTCAAGCAACAGTCAGTATTAATTAGCGTCAACGCTCGAAAAATAAGTTCTTCTACCTGTATTCGCTCGCGAAAGATCTTGCGAAACTATCCGGATCTTCGCGGGTCGCCGCGTGGATCTTCGCCATCGCTCTCGCAACCATTGTCGCGAGCTCTTCGTCCGTCAAGATGCCGTTTTACAAAGTGGTCGGCAGAACAAGCAAGAGCAGAATCGCGGTAGCAGAGATCGACGGGTGCCTGAAGTTCGCGGCGTTCAGCTTGGTGTCCCAGGGCGGGGACACGGAAGGCACAACGTGGGGCCTGTCCGTTCTTTGGCCTTCCTGAAGAGTGCTACCCGACATGATCTGCGTGGTACCGAGATCATCGTCGCTTCCGATCGAGTCGGTGTCCTCGAAGCCATTCGCGTGTCCTCGTCTGCCGTTGTTGCTCTTTTTTTTGCCCTTCGTTATCGGCTTCTTCCGCGGCCTAAGGTCGGTGTTCTTCGTGAGTGTTGTCGGCGTTGTCTTCGCGGATAGATGCAACTCTGAGCATAAAACAGAGGCCTTTCGTGGTTAACTCCAAAATTACAACTTTTCGACAAATTGAAACTTTTCGACTGATCCGAGGACATTAAGTACATTACAGAAAAAAAAAATCTAATAAATAAAAAATATATATTTAGGGTGGGTTAATAAGATATTTACTATCTAAATCTACAGAGTACTTTTTTTAGAAGAAATAAACAATTTCTTTTGTGAAAAATTACGGTTTTAAGAGAATGTAGGGGCGGATTTATATAGAAATTAATGATGCTGAAATATCATGTTCTCAGTGAAAGGAGGCACTCAATTCAGTGTAGAATTTATAATTATCTATTATAACATCAGCAGTGGAGCATCTCAAATGTTATAATTTCTCAAGGCTGTTGTAATTTCTAAGCCGTCTCACTTTGAAGGACGCTTATTTTTTTTTAATTATTACTGCACATGTCAAATAAACATTTTCATTAAAAATCTTCTAATTTGCTCATGAAATTTACGAGTTTCTCCCGATAAATAGTGCGAGGATCGACTGCCAATTTCGATTTGTAGGAGAGCTCACGAGGTAACGCGGTGTCGTCGAGCTGATCACTCATTATTGCTTACATTCAGCCAATTAAAAACAGACCGTTGCAGGGAGAAAAATGTCAGATTTAAAAAAATTGACGATAATGTTCCGTACCTTGCAATCGCACCACGCCATCGGCCCTTCCAAGCGCGTTGACGGACGAGCACACGTATCCGCCGAAGTCCCGTTTTTCCAGGGAATTGACAGTGAGATTCATTTGCCAGGAGTAATCGCTCAGCGCGAACTCCGACATCGCGTACTTGTCACTGGGCAGCAGTTTCTCGTCTACGTAGAAAGGAAACGGAAATATTGCGCTATTTTTAATTGCGAGGCTTTTTCACCCGCGGCTGTGTTGGACGGTCGATGCGAGATTTCATTTCCGTCATGAGAGATCGATCGAATGCACACACACGTACGTGTAGTGTGTTTAAACTAATTCGTGTGACATAATGAAAGATTGGCTGCGTAGATACTGTGCGGAGAAAAAAGATTGATTGTATTAACGTGACAATAACAACTAAATGCGTTTAGGTTGAAGGAGACCGAATTTTTCTCAAAACAAAATTTGATCTGTAAGAATAAAAAATTTAACTTAACAACAATAGCAACAGCTCTAAAAGATTCAAACTAATAAATAAATAAGGACAATAAGAGCCAAAACGTTGGTGTTAAACGCTTATGATTTACGTATAATCAAATAATCAAAAATAAATGATCATAAGCGTTTAACACCAGCGTTTTGCATTGGCTCTTATCATCCTTATTTATTTATTAATAAAAAATTGGTGTTTTTTTCAGTTAAAACGCGTTTAATTTCGTCATTGTCATGTTAATTCCACCAATCTTCTTCCTATAGGAAAAAAACGTTTAATTTGATACCAAAATTTAAAAATTTGTCAGTAAATTTTTTCACGAAAAAATATCCGATTTGTGTTGTGCATCGATAATTATGTCATAATATACTTACAACAATTTGTCTTGCGCTTTAACGTTACATGGTGAATTTTGGTGTAACATAAAAGACGGCTGACGTTTAATGATGTAAGTTGTTAATATCGCGCTCGGTATTGATGAATCGAGCGTATTTTTCTCTACGTAAAGAAATGTAGCGAATCGAATAAAGATACGAAAAAAGCTGTTTACATCCATAGTCGAATCGATAATTAGTTCGATATAAATACGTTATTTGCAGACAACTTTTTTATGATTTTCCAATCACGGCGATGCAAACGTTTTTGATACAACTTCACTAATTATCGTGTGTACTTTTCAATATTTACGTCTCGTTCATTGCGAGCAATAAATTGACGCTTTGAAATCATCATCCACGGTAGACTACTGTCGTTAATCAGAAATTTTCGAATGCACTGCGTTTCACGGCAGATTTACGCTTTTTTCGCGCAACAGCGCGTTTACGAGCAATTCACAAATTTGCATGTTTGATTAACGCAAACGCCCATCGCGAAAATATTTTTTTTCCTTGCCATGTATAATAAAATCGTGACAGTATCGCGTGAAATGCAGATTTTCAATTTGACGCAATTCTTGCAGTCATTATCGCGCCACATTAGATTTATATGTTTTGTGGAATGATTGGAGCGATTTAATTTGGAGATGCGGTTAATTGAATCTGTCAATCTGTATGACATCATAATGTACAGACATCATAATGTCTCATAACCACCGTAAGATATTTTAATAGCGTATTCTGAAGATAAAGTAGAGTAAAAAATCCTAATACAAAAATATCGAGGTTTTGAATTATATCCGATCAAAGATTACCAGTAATATCGCCTAAAATTTGCACGCTCAAGTAATACAGCCCATAGTAATACAGCACACATATCGTTTTATCATTTGTTATCAACTTCACAGTTAATATTGATTTTCACAGATAAAATTCTAAAAGCATTGATAATTAATAGTGTTAGAATTATTAAATTTAATAATTCCACACTTGATTATATATTATATATCCACACTTGATAAAATAAGAATTTTTGTGTTTTTAACATAAAGAGTAATCATGGAAAATAATGTATTATTATTTTTGTTTTTCACATTTTATGAAGAGTAAAAACGTATAATTATAATAAATCGAGGCAATAAAATTAATTTGTCCACATTTCTTAAACAATTTAAGTTTTTATTAAAATTTTGATATGCTGAAATTATAAGATCCGAACTAAAATAATAAAAATTTAAATTGTTTAAGAAATGCGGACAAATTAATCTTATTTCTTCGATTAATTAGAATTATACGATTTCATTTCTTGTAAAACGTGAAAATACAAAAATAATAATAAATTATTTTGCATGATTACTTTTTATGTCAAAAATGCAAAAATCCTTATTTCTTAAGTGTGAAACTTAAATTTAATAATTTTAACAATAACAATTATTAATGTTTTTAGAAATCGGGTTGTATAGTAAAAATCAATATTAACTGTGAAATCGATAACAAATGATAAAACAATGTGTGTGCTGTATGATATGACTACGGGCTTGAACGCGCCAATTCTACGCAATATTACTGGTAATCTTTGATCGGTTATAATTAAAAAACTATTGTAGCCTTGACATTTTTGTATTAGGATTTTTTACTCTACTTTATCTTCAGAATATGCTATTAAAATATCTTACGGTGATTGTGAGACACCCTATATATATATATATATATATATATATATATATATATATATATATATATATATATA